AGGCAGTGAAACTCCTGTGACTCCTCTTTAGTGATAAGGCCATTGAAAGGTGTTAAATGACAACATTGGATTGGAACCACAGAAACATCCTGGTGGGGAAGTAAAGGATGAATTTGAGAAATTGAAAGTGAAGCTTCCAAGATGGAAATATTGCAGAAGTCCAGGGCAAGTAAATGATAGAGAAGAAGGAAACTGCAGCCAACCTCATTCATTTATCAGCACCCTCCAACGATTTACAGTGTCCTTGACCTGATCCTCTCCCACATTACCAAGGACCTTCCTCTTATGCCCTTCTGTTTTCCTTATGTAACCCTAAGTATTGATTATTCCCTTTCTGCCCATAAACATGAGAAGTAGTTCCTCCTATAAACTGCTCCCAGACCACTTTCTTTTCTGAATCCGGTATCTTTCCTTTAGTCTTATTTTCACTTGTTGAAAGGCTTTAACCAGCCTCCTTCTCTCATTTCCTTTTTTTTTTTTTTTAAGATTTATTTATTTATTTATTTATTTATTTATTTATTTGACAGACACAGATCTACTTGAGAGAGAGAGGAGGAAGCAGGCTCCCTGCTGAGCAGAGAGCCCAATGCGATGTGGGGCTTGATCCCAGGGTCCTGGGATCATGACCTGAGCTGAAGGCAGAGGCTTTAACCCACTGAGCCACCCAGATGCCCCTCCTTGTCTCATTTCTTATACCTCTTCAGTTACTGTAGTTTAATTCATGCCCCCAATATTTTACTGAAATTACTCCTGCATGATCAGAAAGGACCTTCTTTATGCCAAATCAATGACTATGTAAAAATCCTTATCTTAATAAATCTATCCATTACATTTGACAGCAGTAATGCTGTTTTGATCTCTCCCTACAAATTTTCACTTTTTGGCTTTCCATGGTATTACACTCCACTAGAGTTTTCGTCTATCAGTTTATTCTCTAAATTCAAAGGCTCCTGTTTCTGCAAACTTTGCTTAAATATTGACGTTTCCAAGAGTTCCTCACTCCTCTTACTCTGCTCATTTTCTCTGGATGATATATCTTCATTGTTGCAACTGTTGTGTTTTCTGACGACTTCCAACCTTTCATCTCCAGCCGCACCCTGCCCCTCGAGCTTCAGACTTGTGTAGCCAACTGCCTGTGAGATATCTCCACCTGGATGTCCTACAGGCATCTCAAACACAACATGTTCAAAACCGAATCGTCATCTTTTCCCTGAGCCAGTACCTTCTCAGTCATCCTCTGACTCAGTTGCTGGTTCAGCTCTAATTCATCACCCAAGTTAGGAGTCGTCTTTGATTCTTCCTACACCCCCATGCTGCAGATAAGATCTACAGATTTTACTTTTAAAATAGGGCCTGCGTTTGTCTCCTTCTCCCTCATGCTCGAAGTCTCTGTCCCGGTTTTGGGCAAGCTTTTATCATCTCTCACATGACTTCTGAAAACGTCTCCTAATTTCTCTCCCAGACTCAGTTCTGTCTCCATCTTCCCCCCCTCAATGTTATTTGAGACAAAGATGTGACCATCTCACTTCTCTATAAAACTTTTGTTGGCTCTTCCTTACCTATAGGATGAAGTCTAAGCTCCTACCATGATCTGGCCCTAGCCCACCTTCCCCAGGCCCTGATTTTAACTGATGTTCTACAATACACAGAATTGCATGTTGGGGATATGTTACGTTTGAGATACTCAAGGGAACCCTAAAAAATGTTCTCCTAACTCATTTTATAGTAATTAGTAGAGAGCTCACATAGACACTCAAATATTTGTTGAATTAAATTGCCATTACTAATTTATTAAAAATAGCCATGCTAAAGGCTTTTTTCTTCCTTGTGTTTATGACAAACTTTTAAACTTTGAAGGAAAAAGGGAAAAACTTCAAGCTCACCACATAGAAGGCAAACTTTTCTAGGTCAGCTAAGTTTTTGTTTACCTAATTAAAATTAAATAATAAAGAGTCTAAGATGAAGATCAAACAATAAAGGGGAAATCATCTCTGACAAGGAACTGAAAATCCTTTCTTCTTTCCATGGTGCCAGAATCAAAGGAAACTTGGGGTTATTACAGTTGGGTAGTAATGCCAGAGGGATTTTTTTTCCCTCCCTTTGGACTGAGTCAAAAGCAGTATGCCTGCCAGAAAACAGAGATCTCATGTAAGGTTTATACAGCTGATTAGACTAATTAATAATCACATAACAGTTGTGGATTTGTCCCTCCTGCAGCCAGGTCTGAGCTGATAATATTTTTGTATCCTTCCCAGGTTTTAGCTTGCTCATAGTAGATGTTTGCCACATAACTAAAGGTACTATCCAAAACCACTCTTGGGCAAAAGCTACCTGGATCCTGTTTGTTGTCCTGCACAAACACTGCGAAAACAAAATTCCATTTCTGCCTATGAAGAGAAACACCTGCTTTTCTAATCAGCAAGAACATTGTAGTCAAAACTAATGCACACCAGTTGGGAAAGTGTTTATAGATTGATGGTGGCAACATATCCTCTCTCTTGGTGTCTTGACAGATGAAAAAGTTGCCCCCAAGACCTTTGGTGACAAGAACCCCACTGAAGTAGGTTTGTTATGTCTATGATGGAATTCCCACCACAAATCAAAGGGGACACATCAAGATCTTACTATAATGATTATAGCAATCCTTCTCAGGTATGTGTGAATCTATTATGGGAATAGTTTGATTGAACACTAGAAGATACAAGGCTCAAATTCTTATGGTTTTAGCACAGCCGATTTTAATTCTTGGTCTTACTGTATGACAAATTGCTTTGCCAGCTCATAAGATGAGCATAGAGGCAAAAATGGTTATTATTAATAGATTTCTGCCCTTCAATATGGTTTGCATGAGACCAATAATGTACTTTTCCCTGGCTTGGTACATTAACCATCAAATCATCCTTTGTGAGGGCCTTTAGATTTTCTTGATTGTTTATAGGAAGCTCACAGTGATTTAAGATGTTGGGTGATGGTTTGGAGAGATTATAAAACATCAGTGTCGGCACTAGAAACTTCCCGAGGTACAAGTAGTACATACTGCTCAAGACTTAAGTGACAATTATGCCTAAGTGATGAATGGGTTAGAGACTTTGTGATGAAGAGAGTCAGTTTCAGAAAGATGATCTGATCATTCTGCGGTAGAAAGGCAAATGCTCCCACAAGTATCTTAGCTCAAATAAGAAAACTTCAACATGGATAACCCTGTTTTGGAATCAGCTGAGATAATTTCGATGATACCTAGGTAGTTGCCAAGTCAGCACACGTTAGAAATAGGGCTTAAAAAACAATTTATACACAATCATTGCACATAATTAAAAAATCAAATAAGTGACATAATTTCACCTGACATGCTTAAATCATTGTTATGCAAATTAAAGATGATTTTATTAGTAATATTTAGAAGCCAATATTCTAGTTGTGGTGGTTCAAAGAGTCTTTGTTGCAGTCCTCAAATTCCATGACTACTAGTGTCACTGGTTAGTGCTGTGGCAGGAGACACATGCAATGCAATCACGTGGGAAGGGCATCTTCTGTTTTTAATTGGAGCCATGCTGGGAATCTCTGGAAGACTTCTCCTTTTTAGGCTTCCAGAGCAACTAAAGATGAAAAGAAAAACAGATACCCTTCCCTCTCAAATACTAATTGAAGACACATTATATAAAAATAAGTAAATAAACAAACCTTTTCTAAAAGGGGCAAAAACCCGGTCTGTATGTTGTCTTTCAAAGTCCCCATTTTATGTGGGTTTTGGCAACCTCCGACCTGTTTTTGCAGCCAACTCTGATACTGGGCTGGCTCAGCGGCAAGATCATTTCTTTCTCTTCTAGGCTACCTGCCCTTGTGTTTCTAAGTCTTGACTTTTTGCAGATAGGATAGGAACTCAAAGGGTGTAATTTTTTTTTTTTTTTTTTTTTTTTTTTGGTGGAAGAAAGAAATAGACACACAGTCTCCTACAGCATAGAAGCTTCTCTGCAACAGCATGACCAAGTTCAAGTTACTAGATCAAAACTGAAAATGCCCTGCTCTCCACTGTGGGTGCAGGCTCTTGCATCCCTGAGATGCAGGTGCACTTGTCATACACAATTACATGTAAAAAAATATAACATAGAATATTTAGAAGAACCAATACAGTGTCAATAACTCTTGGGTAGCCTTAAAAACCTAAGGACCAAAATGGATTCTGACAGTCATTTTACGGCTGGAAAACGGGATCCAAGAATCCTTTAGTTGTCATTGCCCTAGTCAACCCAACGACTGCCTTCTGGTTTACAAGGGCTGTAAGATTGAGTGATATGCTTTAGGTGCTGGGGCCTAAAACTCTTTCTGCCTACTCAGCACCCTTCCTTTTTATCCTTTCCAGACATTCTTCCTAATAAACTCCCTTCCTCTGCTAATTCTGTCTGCTATGTCTTGGAGAACCCAAACTGACCGAGGAAGAAACCTGCCCTTGCCTCTGCTAACACCTTATCAGCTTCGCCTATTATAATATTATATTCTATTTGATGACTACAAATCAAATCATTTTCCCCACGGGGTGCTGAGGGCTACTCAAAACATAGGTCCACCTGTTTAATGCATTGGCTCAACCAATGGAAGAAGGTCATTCATGAGTTTAACACATTAAATTGTCTTGATTTTCAAGCTCCACCAAAGACCTGCTACCTTCTTTGGCCACAATGTCTGATGGGAAGGTTCAGGGTCTGTTAGAAAGGGCAGGTGCTCTCCAGGTTTCCATCCTCCCGCTTGCATTGACTGGTGATCCTAGTTTTTAAGTGTCTACCTAAGAACAAATTCTTTTTTAACTTCTTATTTTGTAGCGCCTCCAGTTGTGACTGCTACATGCTTTGAGTGAGTGATGCTGAAAACCTCATTTGATCTCCGCCCCACCCCGACATGTTTTTTTTTAATACAAAATAACACGGACAACAGAACTAAAGGTATAATGAGAGATTTAAAAAAAAAATCAAAAGCAACAATAAATAAAGAGCCAGCATAAATACCTCATGAAAATGGCACCCGCATGTCCCTTGCAAAAACTCCTTGTATCGTCCCATCGTTATAGTAAATGTGTCAACCACTTCATAGCCATAGGTTTTTGCGGCATCCAGAATAATCACATTTTCCTTCCATAAGTTCTGAACTTCACTCTGTAGTGCAACAGAGGAGAATGGGAATTTTTTTTTAAATTTAAATTCAATTAGATTGAGAGTTTTTATCAAGAGGATTGTTTTACGATTTACTAACTCAGGTAGAAATCATGTAAATATCATCGTTTTTACAGATTGGTCCCACTGCAAGAAGAAGAATTAATTTCACACACATTTCTGAAACAAAGACGTCTTCTCAGTTTTTTACTCAAAATATAAGTGCAAACGTTTACGTGTATCTAAAACGGCAACACATAAATATCTAGAATGACACACGGTTTGGAACTTTTCCTTCTATGTTTTAACCTTTTTAGGTTTCTTCCCCAGAAAGGTTCATTGAGATATTTAAAATTCTCACTGTAAAAGTCAAAATTTGAACATCATCAAGGCTATCTCCCTCTATTTGGATTCTTATTCATTTAGTCATTTGAGTATTAGTTAGTATCTGTTTTGGGCTTAGCTCTGTGCTAAGAGACCACAATAAAAGGATAAATAAACCATGGCCCCTGCTTCCTCAGACCTGCATTCTAACTGGAGAAAAACATTTGTAAACATTTCCTAAGACCTTTACCGGACGTAAATATCCTAGCCTCTGGGCTAGTGGGGAGGAGGGACCAGCCGAGGGCAGGGACGGAGAGACATCAGGAAGGGGCTCTAGAGGAGAGTGAGGTTTAAGGGGAATGGGCTTTGGGTGGGCTTCAGGGAACGGCATTGAGTGCAGGCTCCAGCTGCTGCTTTGCCGAATCATATTCTTCCCTCCCTCCCCAGACATGTCCAGAGCAATGAGTGAGCTTGGCAGAAAGTCCAATTCAGGTCCACTGTGGAGAGGAGCGACCTCTCCTCTAACTACTCTCGCTCTGGGATTCCTCATCAGCAAGGCTAGGACGCTCTCAGACCGACCTGTAGTCCGAGACTCTTCCTACCTCGTCCATCCTTCTCGCGCTCTCTGCGTATCAGACAATAACAGCCAACCACGTGCCCAACAGAGCCCAGTATAGAGCAGACACTCCAAAACTATTTGGTGCAATATTGAATGATATGCTTTAGGTGCTGGGGCCTGAAACTCTTCCTGCCTACTCACTACCCTTCCCTTTATCCTTCCCGGACATTCTGCCTAATAAATCCCCTTCCTCTGCTAATTCTGTCTGCTGTTTCTTGGAGAACCCAAACTGACCGAGGAAGGAAAGTGCTCTTGCCTTTTCTAAAGAATAAAAATTCTTTTCATTTTCCAATTGAAAAAGAAAATCACAGGAATGCCTGGGTGGCTCAGTGGGTTAAGCTTCTGCCTTTGACTCAGGTCATGATCCTGGGGTCCTGGGATCGAGTCCCACATCGGGCTCCCGAGCCTACTTCTCCCTCTTCCTCTAGTCTCTCTGCTTGGGCTCTCTCTCTCTCTCTCTCACTGTCAAGTAAGTTATTAAAATTAAAAAAAAAGGGCACCTGGGTGGCTCAGTGGATTGAGCCTCTGCCTTCGGCTCAGGTCATGATCTCAGAGTTCTGGGATCGAGTCCCGCATCGGGCTCTCTGCTTGGCAGGGAGCCTGCCTGCTTCCTCCTCTCTCTCTCTCTGTGCCTACTCGTGATCTCTCTCTGTCAAATAAATAAAATCTTAAAAAAAAAAAATAAATAAATAAATAAAAAAAAAAAAGAAAAGAAAAGAAATAGCAAATCACATGCTTTTGTTGATCCTACTGCAAGAAAAAAAACAGCAGTACAAATATGTCTAATTTTCTGTCTTCTTTACTGTGCTAGCAAACCTATCTTCAGGTAATACCGAAGGAAGAGTATTTCCCCCAAAATAAAAGTAGTGAATAGAAGAATTCCTAAAGAAGAAATCTAGAGGAAAGGAACATAGGTGAATTTGGTTGATGCCATCATGTGAACAATGATGCTCAATATTGTTTGTAGACTTCTTGTCCGGTTACAAGTATTTTCTCAATTTTAATTTGTCTAGATATGAAAGGTATATGGAACTTTACAGTAAGAAGGTTCTAAAGAGAGTTTTCTAGACAAAGGTTGGTTCTCTGGGAAACAGACTCCTGAGATGGGAATTTGCCTGCAGGGAGCTAAGAGGAGAGTGTTTTGGGGATCAACACCTATAAGGAAGTGATGTAGTTCTATGAGAGGGTTTTGTGGATCCCACTGGGAGTTCTAGAGCTGATTCCTCTAAGATGGTCCAAACTAGGGAAAGGGAGCTGAATCTTGGTACCCCTATACTGGCAAGTTGGGCCTGGGCAGCAAAAGGCAATTCCTGCCAAAAGTCAGGCCACACCCCCAGTGGCCCAGGTGAATGAATGTCTCAGTCTTGAAGGGGCGATCTAGGAGAAGACAAACCATACAAAGTATCACTCACTCATTCTCGCATGAGATATTTTTTGAGAGTCTATGTGCTGAAGATGGTGTTTTGCATTTGTGGTAACAGAGTGTGCAATGCAGCCCTCCCTCCCTGGTCCTTGCTCTCACAGAAATTAGTCTAGCAGGGGAGACAGACAACCAAGGATTGTATCTGTTGAGCGGCATAAACAGAGACATGAGAGACTCTCTCACAGGAGCTCCTGGTAGGAGTAGCCAATCCAGTCTAGTGTATCCGTTAAGTCTGCCCGTGGTAAACGAACACTTGAAGGGTAACTGGAAGTTGTTCAGGTGAACAGGTGGTGGGAGAGTGGGCTCCACGCAGAGGAACAGTGATTTCAAAGACCCGGACGTGAGCAAGAGCATGGCATGTTTGAGGAACTGAAACTTGCCCAGCAGGACTGAGCTCAGTAGCAGTGCATGCATGAGTGTTTACACATGTGTGCACATTTGTGCATATGCACGGGTAGCAAGTCTATGGAGAAGAGCAGAGGCAAGCTCTGGAATGGCCAGTCCAGCAACAATTGAGTTCAGCCTTATTTTCTGCCTCCGCGTGAACTATCCCTATCTCTTTTGTTCTATCCTCTCCCCTCCATTTCTCCTCTCCTTTTGTCTTCATTCTGTTTGAGAAGACTGATGGGGATCATCAAAGCCGTGCTGGGAGGCATACGACTGAACACAGGATCTGGCACAGAGAAAGTGCTGCAGAAATGTTTGCGGTCTGCTGTGATGAACTAATCTTGAGTTTGGAACCTAAATAAAAGTAGGAGCCACAAGCACTGCAGTTCCCGAGAGGGGTAAAGTCGGGGCTCAAAGCAGAGTCCTCCTGAAGGAACTATAACCTTGACTGTAGCCTTCAAATAACATTCAAGGACATTCAACTCAAAACCATTAAAAAGGAACTGTGGTTTAATCCAGACTCCAACCCTTCAGCTACCCCAGATATTAAATACGTCAACTCATCTTAAGGGACTTTCCCCTCCCCATGCTACCTCTGAGAGGCTGAATTTGGATCCTTGACTTGGGCCACATTCTACCTGTTCTCCTGCTTTTGGATCAGAGATCTGCCACCGAGGCAGGCAACGTTTTAGAAGGCAAAGGGGATCGTGTCATCTGTGCTGGGGAACTCGAGGAGGGATCAACATCTCACACACACACACACACACACACACACACACACACACACACACACACACCCCTCATTCAATTTATACAGTAAATGGACAGCTTCCCATCTCCCCTGAGCTCCCTAGAGCAAAGGCATGCAGTCCTGCCTGCCCTTGAACTCTCCTTGCTCGAACAAGTGCTGCTGCTTCTCTTACTTACAGATATTGCCTTTCTTTTCTTTTCTTTTTTCTTTTTCCTTTTCTTTCCTTTTCTTAGACTTCTATTCAGTGCTTTTCTATAAGAACTGGTCAGAGGCCTCTAACTCTTCCCCTTTCTGAATATCCAAGCAAAGATAAAACTAATGATACTACTTCAAAGACTTTTTTTTTAAAGCAATCAGTCAGAAATCATCTTCAAAAAAGCCACCCTTTCCCAAAGTACTCATTGATACTGACAGTTTCATTTGTGGTTTCAGCATGAGTCTTTCAAGGTGTATGAAATGTTGGTGGGGTAATGGGATACTTAAAGATGAATCTCTCTCATCCACCCCTCAGTTCATTATTTTTTATAGCATGGCATCCCCTTTCTTGTCTTAGGAGTTCAAAGCATTATTCACAATGTGTTAATGGGACATGGTCTCCTTATTTCCAGGAATAAGTATAACGGATTTGAAATCCTAATCCTTAAGTACATTATCTCCTTTGATTTTTACTAAGGTGGCTGACTACTATATAATGCCTTGTAGGTCCTTTTTCAGACACCAACAAAGATCCTTACAGGAACCATAAAGTTCATGTAGCCTAGAGGGAATGGGCCTACCTGTGTCAAGAAATGCAATCCATCCACTGGGAGATGAAATCCAATTCCCAAAGTTTTGATGATCACAAGGATATTGAGTAAATTTTCCCTGAGAAATAATCAGAATTCTGAGGTCATAAACTTTGATTACATTTCTTGGTATTTGTGCTTACATAAACAAATACAATGGAATTCTTTTAGGATGTGATAATTGGCATATAAGACTAAATTCTCATTTTATAGATTTGGCATATTTTAGGTTTTTTTTTTTTTTTTTTTTTGTGGACAGAGTTTTATGTGTCAGTGGGTGTGTTTTTACCTGTAGAAAATATAAATGTGGATACTGAAGAGCCCTCTGGTGATGGATACAAAAAGTATTTTGAAACATTTTAAACCGGAGTTCTAAACTTCAAGCTGTCCTTTCCACAAAAATCTCGATAAAATTTAATTACCTCAACGGTGACTTTTCTTTTTAACTCCAAATACTAATGACAATTCTTGTTGCAGAAACTCACCTCTTCAAAACCTTGTGAATAATCTGTAGGTGATTGGAATTGAGCCACTGGACACCACCAACAACCAACACCGTCTGGCCCGTGTTCTCCAGGGGGCGGGATCTGAAATCCAGAAAGGAAAACAACACGTTGCCTTGAAACAGATGGTCAACATTTTCTCAGCAGTGCCTCACATTTCACTGAGTCATAGCTAGCATCCCGATCACTGGACCTCCTTGTCCTTTCCAAC